TTCAGGCCTTTTTTCTAGTTGGAAACAGTTCGGGGCCGGCTCTGGCCGTTTGGTTTTAATTGGAAACTAACTGTTTAAATTTTGAGGAGATCTGTGCGCATGCGTAATAGAACCCTCCGAGGGTGGGGCTTGGGTGCCCACTAGCTCAGGGACCCCTATAGTCACCAGAATGGAGATGCGCAGATAGCAAGGGACCAATGAACAGATAACAAAAGAAAAGAATGTCCACACCTTTATCTCAGCGGTTCTGCCAGGTGTCTGTGGCCGCGCTGATCCTTCCCCTGCGTGGTCTTACCCAAGATGGCGTCTCCTGGAGCAGCCGAGCGTCCCGGACTAGAAAGCAATAGATTTCTTGCTTCTGCCTCAAATTCCCCCAGCTGTGAGCTTTCCAACCTTCTAAATATTCCTTTATATGTGGTTCAGAGTTCTGGGACCAGCCCCTGAGCCTGCTTGTTAGGGTATTCTGTATTGTTGTTGGCAGAGCTCCTTTACTGCACTTCCACCCAATCCGCCATCTTGTTTGTTTTCTTAGACGTCTCAATTTAGAAGACCCATTTTTCAGCAAGCCTTCCTTAAAATCACCCAAGACTGGTTAGTTGTCTCTCCTTTGAACTCTCACTTACATCCTGGTTTATGTAGTTTACAGCTGATAGTTGTTCTCTAAAGAAGCTCTGCTGGTGCCGTGGGCTAAGCTCTAGACTGTTAACTGAAAGTTCAGTGGTTTGAATTCACCAGTCACTCTATGGGAGAAAGATAAGGCAGTCTGCTTTTGTAAAGATGAACAGCCACAGAAACCCTCTGGAGCAGTTCTAGTCTCTCCTATAGGATAGGGTTGTTATGCATTGGAATTGACTCGATGGCTGTGTGCTTAGTTGTTTTCTATTTTAATTGCCCTTTACCTGTCTATCTTCCTGCTAGGCAGTAGCTTCTTTAGATAACACAGACTGTGTTTTATTTATTCACATCATTCTTTGCACTTAGAATTAGATAAATATTTGTTGAATGAATAATTAGAATGTTCAGTTGTGTACTTATTAAATATATCCGACCTTCCTTACTCTTAGATTGTGTCTGTGTTTTTAAAAAAAAAAAAAAAAAATCAGTAGAACGGAGTGAGTAATTTCCACAAACCTCAAGCGTGTATTCTGTAGAATATCTGTGTTCAGTACCTTTTTAAAACAGAATTTCCTCAAACCCTGTCAACTTAAGCAAATGAGTTATTGTTGTTAAATGCTGTCGAGTCGGTTCCAACCCATAGCGACCCTGTACAGGGTTTCCGAGGGTGTAAATCCTTATGGGAGTAGAAAGTCTCATCTGAGTAGCCCTTTTGTAATCAGAACTAGACAAAAAGGTGGTGGAAGGGCTGGCTGGAATTTACAAATGCTGGAAGTTGCTGAACTGTGTATGCATTGTTGTTACCTGGGGAACATGATCTCCACCTTTCCCTCTGGGCAGTTCCAGTATTTCTGGAAGTAAGTAGTAATGGAAGAGAGAGCAATCTAAGCAACCGGTTGCCTAGGCTGCTCAAACCCCAGATCTGATAGGACACAAGAGAAGGGGCCCTTGCCATTCCATCATCCATGGTTTTTTTCATGTAATGCTAAAGACTTGTATAAAATAAGAGAGGCAACATTGATATGCAAATACATGATTTATTTCCAGTACCAATTTGACCAACCTTAATGGGTAATGCAACAGATCTGCAATATCCTACAAATCTTAATTGTCCCCTTTGTGATGTAATTTTGTGATGTAATTTTTAGCTGAGCTACAAACCCTTTCCAAACTTCTCCCTGATCTTCTTTTAAGGTAGAGCCAGCCATTGGTTCTAAACCTTAGTGAGTATTATGAATCACTTGGAGAGCATGTTAAAGCTGGTTTCGTGGACTCCACTGTTGTTGTTAGCTGCTGACCATTCCATTGTGATCCATAGCATTTTTGAAGTAGATCACCAGGTCTTTCTTCCTCATTCGTTTTAGTCTGGAAGCTACACTGAAACCACATCAGCATCATAGTAGCACTCAGGCCCCACTGACAGATGGGTATTGGCTTCACTGAGGTGCACTGACCAGGAATCAATCCTGGATCTCCTGTGTAGATGGCAAAAATTGGACCACTGAATCACCACTGCCTTTGGGGTCCCTGCCTGTAGAGTTTCTGTTTCAGTAGGACTCTAGAATACACGCTGGAGCCAACTTTAGTGATACTGATGTTGTGAATCTGTTAAGACGACTTTTCAATAAGAATGGACTTGACCACATATGGCACCACTTCTAATTTTTGTTTACTTCAGTTAGCATGTGCTTTCTTTATCATGGTGTTAATATTATACAGACCATTAACTCCTGAGTAACCCAGAGGGGAATATGCATAATGAAGCTTTGACCAACATCTTCACCTCTACTTTGTGTCTTACTGGTGTCTGGGAGTACCTCTCTTTTAAGAGTCTTATAGTTCTTCCTTCTTTCTCCTCTGTTTTTTCTCTCTCTTCTATATGGCCTGGTTGACCTTATGTTTTCTGGCAATTTTTTATACCTACTAGTTAATATCTTTCCCTTTATAAAAAGTTTGTTTTTCTAATTCCCCTTCAGATAAATACTTCCCACTTACCAGTCCTCCACATTTTACATGTATCTTTTAAAATATTTTTATAACGCTATAAAATCCATTTGTGATGTTGTTGTTGTTATGTGCCATGGAGTGAGTTCCAACTCATAGCGAACCTGTACAGGGTTTCCGAGGCTGTATATGTTTACGGGAGCAGAAAGCCTCATTTTTCTCTCACAGAGCAGCTGGTAGTTTCGAACTGCTGACTCTGAGGTTCACAGCCCGATTTGTAACCACTACGCTACCAGAGCTGCTTTATTATCCTGTGTTTATTGCTCTACTGCTCCTTTTCTTTATATTCCTTTGTTATTGCAGTATACTATCCTTAGGAAACAAATGATATCTCTTATCACTGTAAATCTCTTTATAAAATGCATAAAATTATTTATGCTACATTTTCATAACTATGCTCAATTGCTGTTTGTAGAAGCAATATTTTTTGGTCTCTCTGGAGATGGTTTTGATTGATGGCCTGTGATTTCCCAGTGTTGTTTTTTTCCCCCTAATTTAAAAAAAATTGAGGTTTAATTTACATCAGATAACATTCACCTTTTTTAGGGTCTACTCAGTTAGTTTTTGACAAATATATACAGTTGGAGAATGGTGTGGCGCTGTAGGATAAGCACTCGACCACAACGTTGGTTTGAACCACAAGCCTGGTGAGTCAAACTCACCAGCCGCTCCTCGGAAATCCTATACAGGGTCACTATGAGTTGGAACCAACTTGATGGTACTTAACAACAAAAACAACAACATATACAGTTGTGTAATCACTACCTCAATCAAGCTATAAGGTGCTTCAAAAAGTTCATAAGAAAAATTCCATAATCTTTTAATTCTATTTTTCCATGAAATTTTTGAAGCTCCCTCATATTTCTTTACTCCAAAAAGTTTCTTTATGCCTCTGCATCAATTCTCTTTCCCTACATGTAGCCTCTGGAAATCACTGATCAATTTGCTATTCCTGTAAGTTTCCCTTTCTTATAATGTGGCATCACACATTTTATGTGAGCCTGGCTTCTTTCACTTAGAATATTCCATCTGTGGTCCATACATGACGTTGTGTCATTCTTGTTTATTGCTGAGTAGCAGGGGTCTACCACAATTGTTTATTTATATTTAAGGGCTATATCCAGTCCTCAAAATTGAACCTTTTTTTTTTTTTTTTTTTGCCATTTGGTTTATTGAGCCTTAAAAAGCAAATTTACAGGTTTCCTTTGTGATCTATGTGGGAATGAAAACTAAATTGCAGAGGCACTAACGGACTCTGTATTTCTGCACCAGCCATATTCCTAATGTTTCTTTACTTAGACCCATTTTAACATATCCTCAGGTAAGAGCTCAGATTAGACATATCCATTTTCAAAGAAGCCTGTTCTACGCATCCTTTTGGGCCAAGAACTTTCAGGATCATTGCTATAATTCCCAAGAAAGATGTAAAAGTGACTCCCCTTTCCCTTAAAGAATTCCACATCACGAGTGCACATTTCTGATATTTGCATTTGGAACCAGCTTTACACTTTGTTTCATCCCTATCTTTGGGGTCTGTTAAGACTTCTTTTTGTTCCCCAAATTTAAAGAGCATTTAAAAGGAACATGATTTGAGTCCCTTGAGAATGCAAAAAATGCTGTTTTGATATGGTGTCAGTTGAAAAGCCCAGTGAAATGGATTGGAACAGTGACAGCAACATCGGGCTCCTGTGTAATAAGGATTATAAGGATGGCACAGGACCAGGCAGTATTTCCTTCTGTTGTGAATCGGGTAGCTATGAGTCGGAACAGACTCAATGGCACCTAACAACAATTTAGTAAATTAGATGAAAGTTACGTTATGGGATACATAATTTTTTTAAAAGATAGACATGCTGACATTTCTCTTTTTTTAATCTTTCTTCTAGGTGTTTGCTTCAGGATGGTAAGTCAATAAATACTTGGCACCCCCCCTTCCCTTTTACGTCAATTACAGTGATAGAGTAGTTTTCTACTTAGTTTTAGAATGCTACTTACTATCTTTCCTTTATAGTAAATGAAGAAATGCATGTATTTCTTTGATTCTACTGATTGAAATTTTTTCTGAAAACTGACTTTAAAGATAGTTTATTAAGAATATTACAGCCTTCCTAGGTTTTAGTTAATCTTTTCTATGAATTTCAAAAGTACCTCTCTTGGTGAGTGGTTCAAATTAAACATATTTAATACAAAGTATGGATCTTCCAACCAAGTCTATGTGGAAGAACTCTTTCAGGCAAGGGTAGGTATTTCATGTTGCAAATAAAAAAAATGCTAGTGTTGAATAATGAAGTCGTTCCCAGGGTTTCAGATGTTCAAATTTCCTGTTGCATTTTAAAAATTTGTTTTTTAATATTCTCCCTTTCTAAAAGTCAATTGTGGCATATACTTTCATCTTCTATCTAATTGGGAACTATAAGATTGGGTCTGTGGTTCCCAACTTCTGAGGGTTATAATATTTTGAGATTGTTCACCCCAATCACTGCAGTCCAGTTCAGATTTCTTAAAAAGTTTTTCTAGACTAGATACATAAAACATAATGTAACTAAGATAATAAATAATTAAAATATTGTGAATATTTTCTTTTCAAGTAGTATAATGGAATTTGGAACCAAGAAAAAGAATGGAAAGAACAAACAAACAAAAAGGAACCCAAAACTTTTAAGGGTATTAAAATAAATAAATTTACCTATAGCCAAGGAGCTCTGGTAGCGTAGTGGTTACGTATCAGGCTGCGAACCTCAAGGTCAGCGGTTCGAAATTACCAGCTGTTCCGCGGGAGAAAGATGAGGCTTTCTGCTCCCATAGAGATTTACAGCCTCGGAAACCCTATACAGGGTCGCTATGAGTCGGAACCGACTCCATGGCACACAACAACAACAACAACAACAGCCAATCGCAACATTTTTGAGGTAAGTCTAGAACTAACAGAAAACATCGGAATTTTTTAATCTTAAAATAACTCTATAGAATAACATGTCTAGGCTGATGTCTTGGTTCGCTTAATTTTTTAATTAGAATTACTTTCTCTAGTTTTTGTTGACACATTTCAAAGTGTTACAGTTTATATTTCTGCCTATGAATAATTTATGTTCATCATATTGGGTTTTTTTCCTCAGTAACTGAGAACCTTCAAGTGGTCATTTAGAACCCAGATTAAAATGTAATTTTGTGTTATCTGGTGTGAGGGCAATACAATTGAATTTATGGATCTTAAAACACATTATGGAAGCTGTTTTCTGAAATAATTCTCATTATCAGTTTATTTTCTCATAATTTGCTTGTCTCGACGGATAGTATAATGTAACAAACAAATAAATGCCGTTTAATTGGAGACTCAAGTAATTAAAGGCATTACCATAGGCCTGCCACACAATACAATGCAGACTATATTTCAGAAAAAGAAATGAGTTATCAGATTTGCATTTTCTGAATGTTAGAATCAACCACGGTGTGAATATAGACTTTTGAGGATGGGCTTCGTATCTCTTGTTTTTTTTCCTGAAATCAGTACACAGAAGGTGAAGCTAAGAAAATAGGCGTGGTTGGCTGGGTGAAGAACACCAGTAAAGGTACCGTGACAGGCCAAGTGCAAGGCCCTGAAGAGAAAGTCAATTCCATGTAAGTAGTAAGACTAACCACACATATACATGCAGCTTATGAGTTGTTAATGTTTTGTTAAATAGTAAGAATTCTACTGATGGACCATATTCAGTTTGTGGATTACAACTAAACCAACATGTTTTTAGGTAGTCCAGCACAGAAAGTCTAAGAATTGGGTGTGGAATTGCTAAATACCTTACTTTTAGGAATGGATCTCCCACTTGGACAGGCTCTCAAGAAGAGCAGAGAGCATAACGCTCCAGTCTACAAATGTGTCCTGTTAAGTCTCCTTCAACATGTGGAAACATTCAGGACCCAAATATTTTTCATCTGAAGTGGTTGTGATAGTGCTCTTCAATGCAAAAGATGGGTATTTCCTTTTGATTAAGTGCCTTATTGTTGTTTTTGTTGTGTTTAAGTGCTCTCGAGTTATTCTGACTCATAGTGACTTTGTATAGGGTTTTTGAGAAGTGGCTGCTGAGCTTGAACCAGTGACTTTGTGGTTCAAATTGACCTTGCAGTCCAGCGCATTATCCCGCAGCACCACACCATTTTATTTTTGAAGTCCTTGGGTGGTATAAATGGCTAATAACTTTGATTGCTAACCAAAAAGTTGGTGGTTGGAGCTCACCCAAGGTTCCTTGGAAGAAAGGCTTGGTGATCTGAAAAGTCAGTCATTGCAAACACTGTCGAGCACAGTTCTATTCTGACACATACGGGGTTACCAGGAACCAAGGTCAGCTCAATGACAAGTGGTATTGTTTTTACTTTTACTGTCCATCAAAGCATGTTCCCAAAGGAGACCAGACTCAGTAGAATGGGAACACATGCCCTGTGTACACCATGTCATTAAAAAAAAAAAAACCTGTATATTTTCCACTCTAATTTCTACAGTTCTCTGTAGTCATTAAAAAATAGAAAATAAAAGGAGCTAGCATTTGTTGAGCATTAAGGCTTGGGCAGTATGCTTAAACAGTGTACATCAATGATCTTATTTAATTTTAAAAATCGATCCTGTGAGGAAGGTACTAATTTTATATCCAATTTATTTTATTGTTGCATTTATCCTCCTTTTCATTACTTAATGTTTTTAGATTTCAAAAGTAATACTGTTTTGCTTATTATAATAAGTGAAACAATATATTTCAGAGAGATACACAGGCACAATGAGTAATCTACCCCATCCTCTCACCTCCCTGCCCTGTATGTAACCTATGCAAATGCTTCTGTGTATACTTTCCACAACTTTCTCTTGACTTAAGAATATTTATGTATCTATAAAGGAGCTCTGGTAGCGTAGTGGTTATGAATCGGGCTGCAAACCTTAAGGTCAGAAGTTCGAAACTACCAGCTGTTCCGCGGGAGAAAGATGAGGCTTTCTGATCCCATCAAGATTTACAGCCTTGGAAACCCTGTACAGGGTTGTTATGGGTCGGAACCAACTTGACGGCACTTAACAACAACGTACATAATTAGAGTTTTTCTTGAAATAGAATACTTAATGCATATTTTTTCTGTAGCATGGTTTGTTTGCTTTTTTCTGTTTATGAGGATCCTAACAACACCTTATTTAAAAGAAATTTCTTTATATTAGGTACATGCTTGCATATGTGTATGTAAAATCATACTTCAACTTACAAAATGGGGTTCAAAATTTAATCTTGTAAGATGTGAGTTACAGTTAATGGGAAAAAAATATTTCTCAGAAGGCTTGTCACAAAATGAAAAATTGTAAAGTTGAACTTGCGTAGAACTGATTATTTGGTAGACTGAGGACGTGTAAAATGAATGTGAGGTTTTTTGAGAATGGAGACTATGTGGAGGATGATGCCCATGACAGTCATATTATGTCCTAATTGATGTTATAACAGAATCCAGATTCATTTAACATTAACGAAATTATATCATACATAAACCTATTTCTACTGAGTGACTATTATGGATTGAATTGTGTCCGACCCTCCCCCCCCTCCCCCCCACCAAATATGTGTCAACTTGGTGAAGCCGTGGTTTTCAGTATTATGTAATTATCCTCCATTTTGTGATCTGATATAATAATTATCCTATGGGTTGTAATCCCAACCTCTCTGATGTTAATGAACCAGGAGTAGAGGAAGTTCTGTTAATGAGGCAGGATATAAGCTACAGAATTAGGTTGTATCTTTAATCAATCTCTTTGGGGATATACAAGAGATTAAATAAGGAAGCAGAGATCAGAAGAAACTACTACTACCTACTCAGAAGAGTAAGGAGTGGCGTGCTTCCTTTGCACCCTGGGTCCCTGCTCTGAGAACCTCCTAGGCGAAGGGGAAGATGAATGCTAGACACATGTACATATGCCAGGAATGTTGGGCCCACATGTATTGAAAGGAGCCAAAGACCTACCTTCAGAGTCGACAGAGAAAGAAAGCCTTCCTCAAGATTTGGCACTCTGAATTCAAACTTGTAGCCTTCTCAAATGTGAGAGAATACATTTCTGTTTGTTAAAGCAATTCACATGTATTTCTGTAAAAGCAGGCTAGAAAGCTAAGACAGTGATCCTATAGACAGAGCAGAACTGCCCCGTAGGGTTGCCAAGGCTTTTGAAGTCTTCATGTGGCACTGTAGAATAAGTGCAGGATCGCAAGGTCAGCTTGAACCACAAGATCAGTGGTTCAAAGTCACCAGTCACTCCTCAGAAACCCTATACTGGGTTGCTATGAGTCAGAACTGACTTGATGGTACTTAAGCACAGCAACCCTTTACAGAAGTTGGCTGTCACATCTTTCTCCTGCAGAGCAATTTGGTCAATTTGAAGAGTCAGCTTTTTGATTAGCAGCTGAACACAACCATTGTGACACCAGTGCTTCTATTATATATACTACTCATTTTTTTTTCAACCCTTGCATTTTTCCATCTCCTAGTAATTTGTGTTAATAATCTGGTATGCTTCTTTTTATATTTGTCTTCATAGTCACACATATATTCACATGCATGTATGCTCATACATGCAAACACACTAAAGTGCACACATTTGTAGTTTTTTTTTTTTTTTTAAGTTTTTATTGTGAATTGAGGGATAGTTTACATGGAAGAACGTCGGTTTTATATTCATCGTTTCATTGCAATGATTACAATCTCCTCCGTGCGTTATCATTCAACAGTATTTGCTTTTATTTCCCCTGTTGTTTTGGGGGGCATGTACACCAAAACACTCATGGCTATATAATTGTTTAAACAACCTAAGGGCACATTCTGCTAGCCTGCCGCCTGGCCGCCAATACATAGCTTTTCTCTTTCCAAGAGTCTAGAGTCCTCAGCTGCACGCTCTCTCCATGTTGTCATCTCTGCCTCCATCTCTGGTGTTGCTGCTTCTCTGAATAGGGTCCCATATTCCACTTGTGCTCTTCTCCCTTGATGGTCCTAGTGTTCTCTGTTGTTGGACTGTAAGATTAACTATCCCCCCCAACCTTTATGTTACAAAACTTCTACCTTTACAGTTGTGACCATTGCAATTAGTCATGATAACAATTACTCACTATTGAATCATAAGAATCTTATCCCCATCTCCTTTTACCAGATCCGTCTAGACAAGATGAAAACTATTCAGTAGGGAACATTTGTAGAGTTGTTTTTTTTTTGTTTTGTTTTGTTTTTTATCAATGCTAGCTTTTTAAACTTGGGATTATTGTGAATTCATTTCTTTACATCTCACTTTTGTCATTCAAAAATTACCCCAGAGACTTCCCTCTGAGCCAAATGGAATTGCTCTAGTTCATTCTTTTTAATTGTGACTTGACAATGCTACAGTATGGGAGTACTTATATTCTCAACCTTACTGCTGGAAACTCATTTTGCTTCATGTTTTTTTGCAATAAGAGCAATGCTGCAATAAAAATTTTATTGGTGATTTTATTTTTATGGGATGGATTCCAAGAAGTGTGACTTGTTGTTTGCAGTGTCTGTGTATTCTTCGTTTAGAAATATTAGTCAGACTGTTTTCTCAAACAGTATATGGTCAGTAATTGACATTATTGCTCTTTAATTATTTTTTATATCACTTTAGCAAGCTTTTAACAAATAATTAGTAGAAAAGTAGAGGAGGAATAGTGGCTGAGAGAGACGAACACAGGATGCTATAAAACCTGAGTATCTGCAGAGTAAGACCAGTAAGAAGCAAATCAATTCACCTCATGGCACCCGCAAAAGACTCAGGATTTGGAGGCGTTGGTCCATATAAAACAGGGCTTACAGATTTTGATATCCAGCAGCTTCCCAACAAAAAGGTCAGCACCCACCCCTCAAACTGGAAAAATCGTAGTAAATATGGGGCTATTCTTACATGTCTGTTTATATTTATGAATATGTTACTTACAAAACTGATTCTAAAGCAAGCTTGCAACATGAAAGAAAAAAGCAAGGCAAATACATATAACAAGTATATATATATATATGTTGTTGTTATGTGCCGTGGAGTCGGTTCCTACTCATAGCGACCCTGTACAGGGTTTCCGAGACTGTAAATCTTTACGGAAACAGAAAGCCTCATCTTTCTCCCGTGGAGCAGCTGTTAGTTTAGAACTGCTGACTCTGAGGTTAGCAGCCCGATTCATAACCACTACACTACCAGAGCTCTTATATGTGTGTATATATATATATGGAGCTCTGGTAGCATAGTGATTACGAATCGGGCTGGGAGCCGCAAGGTCAGCAGTTCGAAACTACCAGTGGTTCCACGGGAGAAAGATGAAGCAGTCTGCTCCTGTAAAGATTAACAGCCTTGAAAACCCTGTATAAGGTCGCTATGAGTCGGAACCGACTCCACGGCACTTAACAACAACAACATATATATATATATATACACACACACTCACAGTATGTATAAGTATATATACATACATACTGGCTGCAATTAAGTCAATTCCAACTCATAGTGATCCAGTATAGGACTTCTGAGGCTGTAAATCTTTACAGAAGCAGAAAGCCTCATCTTTCTCCTAAAGAGAGACTGGTGCTAACTTCATGGCTAACTGTCCAGT